AATCGGCATAGTTTATCTACTTTTATATATTAATTGTTATTTTAAAATATTCTCAATATTTAGTGTTACTACTTATTTAATTTTATATATGTACACGTATACAAGGTGATTCAGAACTTATCCAAAAAAACTCACAAATACAATTTTGTAAAGAAATAAAAAAAAACAGTTCGAAAATGATTTAAAAATACACTTCTGCACGGCACTGGAAACTGGTCCACTGTAAAACCTGACCTAGCGCAAGGCAAAGCATGAAGTCGGGCAACCGGCTCGTCGGCAAAGTGTAATAAAAAAAGAACGGACAAAAAATTTAAAGAATTCCTTTCCCAAGGAAAGAAATAAATAAAATTTTATATCAGCAAATCCAACTGCTTTTACCCGTTTTAATTAATGAAATAATTTGATATACCTGAGGTTTCAACAACTGTTCAAAATTTTGCCCACCGACGTGTAAACACATTAGAACCCGTTTTACCCAGTTTCTACAAAATAACACAAATGTCTTGCTTCATCATAAGTTAAAACGATATCCATACAGAGTTGCTACATACTTAAGCCATTTTTGACACTTGAAAATTAATCTCAAAAACGTTACTACTAAAATCAAATTTCAGTTTTCGGATTCATCTCGGGCCATGTCAATGACGCTAGAGACTACAGTAGCCTAGCGATGTAAGGGTTGTAAATAATACTACGACTTTAATATTTTTTCTAGGAAACTATAAGGATTTTACAAAAATTTTGTTTCACGATATTGACTCCATTTTTCATGACGCATCTATTCCCAAATTTTTTTGGATAAGTTGTGAATCATTAAGTAATATATCGTTGGAGTGGTGTTCAAAACGTATATTTCTAATTCCTATTCAATCAAAACATCAAATTTTTTGTTCCTAACTAGGTCTGCAAGACATACCTTATATGTATTTTATTTCACTGAATTTTTATATTCATCGACCGAGGTCGTCATTATCCTATAACACCCACGGTGCCGCCTTCAACGTTGGTATGATATTTGTTTACCTTATTTGGTGTGATATTTGTTTGACTTATTTGATTTAATCACTTATCACGTAATCACTTGACTTATTTGATTTAATCACTTAATTTAATTTAATGACTTATTTGATTTAATCATTGACATTAATAAATATTACTTGTAATTTCTATTATTGAATTGATTTATTACGTTAATAATTTGTGTTATTTCTCATTTAATGTATCTCAATATAAGGTGATTGTTACAAAATAATAAATGAACATTAATACGTAAATTCATGTCGCTTAGAACACTGTTGTAATAATACAAATTAAATTCTAGGGATATCATTGTTATACCTATATTTTATTCCTTTTCGGACACTAATTCACTTTTTGTCCCCAGGACATCGAGCACTGCTACTATCACGGAACCGTTCAGGACTACCCAGGAGCCACGGCAGCCTTCCATACGTGTAACGGAGTCAGTGGGGTCATCCACGTGGGGAACGAAACCTTCGTTATACACCCGTTCTACGGGGGAGACCTTTCGGTCAGTATTTCCCATTCACGCAATAACTAAGTTATTCATTAACCATTTCAGATAGTGCTTAAAGTGCTTGCTATAACTTTGGGCTTTAGGGTTATCCTGAAATAATGTCGAATGGGACAGTCCGATTCATTATATAATCAGGAAATATGGTTCTAATGGCTCAGAATTGCGGCCCTAATTCTCACAGTCAATTTTGTTTCATGAATGTGACAGTTTTCGTGTTCATGGGTTTTTCACAAATGTCATTTCTTTTCGTTAGATTGTAATCGTTGATTTAATTTTAATCTTTGATGGCCAATGTGCCGCTTTAAATCTCTGAGGAATAAGTAAGTGTTTTTATTTATTCAAGTATTCAAAAATGCAAATTATTATCTACCATTACCGTGCGAAATGAAAAGGGGGGGAACTACCTACAAATTTGATTAAACTACAAAAAAACGCAGAGCGGGAAAGTCTCTTGGATTTTGAAACTGTAATTATCCTGCAGCGACTGCTACCATTACAACTTTTCAAATTGGCGTACAACTGTCCCTGTAGAAAATATACAGGTCATTGCAATCTTGATGAGGATTTTTTATTGTTAGGTAGAATGCCTTAATAACATCAATAATCAAAATTGTTAAAACTTATTGAGTACCTTTGGAAGCCTCCCCGAGTTACAGACTTCATGAAAATGGAGTGAATATATGTGGCCGTAAATAACGTGTCGTCCACTTCTACGTCCTACACACTATATCTTACCGAAACGTATGTCTTTTGTTGTGAAAATTATTAGTGAACAAATGTTTGAGTGAAGTAGTAGTAGTATTTTTTCTAAATTCTTATTTTAAGTGTGTCTTTTTTTTGTCAAACTACAATGTAGCTGTGATGTGTGTATTAATTGGTACAAATAAATATGCTACTCATAAAAGGGCCCGTCGATACAGTAGGCAACAATGGTGATAACTTATGAAAAAGCTGATAAAAACTGAGAGTTAACAGCGTAGATATCTTTATGTACAACGACTTCCAAATAAGCATACACCAACACCTGCAAACGGAGTCAAAGCTATCGATGGTTCCAAAAATTGTTTTCATCGAATCAATGTATAAAGTTGCAAAATATATTTCTGCCAATCAATTATTCGTGCCTTGATGTATTTACTCAAATATCCTCTAAAAGTATTTAAACACGCTATATACAGGGTGCCCCGGTACTTGATCCAAAAAATTCTAGTACAAATAGATGAGGTCAAAATAGTATTAGTTCTTCATATAATTTTTTTCATATGGGCCTTCGTTAACCTCAAAGGTGAAAATTAAAAAGTTATTTTTATTTACAATCTCTATACTATTAACTTCAGCATGATGCAAATTTGGTGAAGGATAACACATGCGTACAACTTTTTTTTTTATGCAAATGAAACTTCATTATGCCCAGAACACCAGGGACGAACTATGCCCAATGGCTAACAACCCAGAATTTTTGCATAGAGGACGATCACAATCTGCCTGCATCAAAAATAAGTTCCCTGAAAATTTTGCCACGGAAAATACCCTCGTGGTTCAACTCGGTAAAATTAACAGTTTAGGAAATATTTATGATTTTATGTCACAGTGCACATCGAGCGGCGGCGCGGCGTCTCCATCATTTTTTGTCTTTAATTTTTAATTGAATATAGTTAAAACCGTATCTACATATTTTTAAAATAAAGGTCTAGAAAATCTTACTGTCTGCTAATGTAATTTTCACTAAGAAAATTTTAAAATAGAAAAAGAACTAGAATAAGTTAAAGTAAGTTACAAAAATAATTTAAAAAAAGAAGAAAACCATCAAAATACACTTTCAATATGGGCATCTTCCACCGCCACACACTTCCTAAGTTTACGAATGTTATTTGTTTGTACACGAAATTAATTCTTTGTAGCAATTCATCCCTTATCATTATCTGTACTGGGTTGAGTACACTAAACTTTTCAGGTATCCCCACAGGGAGGCCATCGGGTTAAAGTCTGAAGAATGTGGTGGCCATGAAATAGGACCTCGTCTCCCAATCCATCTATTATTAAGCACAATAGATAAATAATTTCGTACATCAATTAAATGGGGTGGAGCCCGCTTGAACCAAACGTTTCTTCGATTGTCTAATGGAACATCGTCTAATAGTGGCTGTAAATTATTTTGCAAAAACTCCAAATATCGATGTTCATTCAGACATTCCTCAAAAACGTATGGACCTATTAAATTACTATTCCTGGACATCGATATTTGGAGTTGAATACTTAACTTACTTTAACTTATTCTTGTTTTGTTTTTCTATTTTGTGTTTGAGTAAACTGTGATTGTCAAATTTTGTTAGTGGAAATTACAATAAGCAGTCAATAAGATATTCTAGACTCTTATTTTAAAAATATGTACGGTTCTAACACAGTAACTATGTCCAATTAAAAACTAAAAATTAAACATGGTGGAGGCGTCGCTCGATGTGCACTGTGACATAAATGCACAAATATTTCCTAAACTGTTAATTTTACTGAATTGAACCAAGAGCGTATTATCGTTGGCAATTTCTTTCGGGAAATTATTTTTGATCCAGGCAGATTGCGATCGTCCTGTATGCAAAAATTCTGGGTTGTTAACCCTGGCGTTCTGGGGCATAATGAACATTCACTTACAACATCAAAAACAAGGTGTACGCATATGTTATCCATCACCAAATTTGCATCATGCTGAAGTTAATAGTTTAGAGATTGCAAATAAAAATAACTGTAATTTTCACCTTTGAGGGCGCGTAATTTGTTAAGGAAGGCCCGTATGAAAATAAATTAAATGGAGAACTGATACCATTTTGAGCTCATTTATGTGTACTCGACTGTTTTGTATCAAATACTGGGACACCCTGTATAGATAAAATATAATATAAATTTTAACTAGGTAAGCCTGAATGTGTGTAAAACTTTATAAGAAACAAATTTTCACCTAAACCATGATCGATTTTCTCTCCAGCATGTAGGCCGTTCATTAACGTTAACTTTTACTGCTGCTAGCGCGTTTAATACATTTACTATCAACGTAAAACTTCCTCAAAATAGAAGTGTAACCCTTTCTTTAATTAACTGTATAAACAAATTGTCCAAGGATTAGGCAAAAGCTGCTCGGAAATTTGCTCTTTTTGCATTAAATATAGCTTATTTTTACGGTAATAAAAAAAAGAAATCGCCTACGCCTGTTTGTTCCCTTTTTGTAACGTTAATTGTTAATTAACTAGTGATCGTATCGGACTGAGACTTTAGATACAATTAAAGAAAGGGTTAAACTTTCATTTTCATATTTTACATTGATAGTAAATGTAATAAAAGCGCTAGAAGCAGTACAAGTTAACGTCCAATAGTTTATTAACAATAATTAATTAATTAACGTTATAAAAAAGCTATCGTGGGAACAAACAGGCGTAGGTGATTTCTCTTTTTTTTTTCTAAATGCCCATAAAAATAAGCTCTATTTAATGCAAAAAGAACGAATTCCCGAGCGGCTTTTGACTAACCCCTGACAATTTGTTTATAACGCTGTTTTGCACGTCCTATTCAATTTCAACTATTTGAAAATTTTCGATACGTTTCTTTGGATCAATTAGAACTTATATCTAGGATATTAACTTATAAATTTAACATTTAGTAATTACACAATTAGGTGCAAAAAAAACTAACGAAATTAATTAACAAATATCTGAAGCAACAATTTCACGGTCAATCGAATCGACCTTTGGCACACATATTGGTCTTTGGATTGATCGTTTTTTCCATAAATTTCATATTTCAAAAAACACATAATTTTGCCACTTAGCATAACTTCCTTCTAGTTACTTTTTTGATATTATCATTTTACATACCCTTTACCATACCATACCCATAAATATATACTAGTAATTTTTTACGTTCAAACTTTAATTCGACTGGAGTATAGAGCATATACTACATGAAGACTTCCTCCTCCCCGTGTTAAAAAGTGTAGACGCTGTAGAGAGAAAGGGCGATAGTTTGGGTGCTCTCTCTCTTTCGCCCTCTCTTAATTTTTTTTTAATATTACGAGAATAAACAAGGACGAGAGGGAAAGATGGTACCCAAACTATCTCTTTCTCTCTAATGGTATGTACATCCCCGGCACCATTGTGCGTGTCTCCACACCTGCGGAATAGGGTGGTGGGTCAACATCCGGGCGGGCATAGGGATTTACATAGAGGTATGAGCATAACAACCGGAAAACTATGTTAACATAAATATCAACACGGGTCCTAAAAGCCTTTAAAACCACTGTACACAAAGATTTTGTTCGACTTCAGGTAACTTTAATGACTGTTAAAATTCTTCAAACTACTTCTGTTTCCAACCCCATTGGTTAGTATTTTTTTAATTTTACCTGTACGAGACACTGCCAAGTTTGAAGTATCTGCAGTGAATCTGTGGTTCACGTCCGGTTTTGAAGGATTAAAAAGTCCTTGTAAAATCGCTTTTGGGAAAAAGTGTTACCCTCGTTTTCTATTTGTTATTCGGACGAGCAACATAATTTCTAAAAGTCTGTCACAACGAACAGTGGTCGGAATTCCGAAAAAGCTGGACAAAAGTCGAAATTTCAAAGTCGTTGGTTTGCGTTAATACTTCAGAATATGCTAGAGAAGGAGTCATTGCGTAGTTCTTTAAAGTGACAGAGAGCTGGCCCATGTGTATAGACCACAGCAACTATCGGAAGTATGCTGCGACACATTAGCATATTTCACTTGCCACTGACCCCTCGAAAAGCGGTGAATTTAAAATACGTGCAAATTTTTACTAGAGTACGAATCGTTGTGTGCAATAGAGAGGGTGTTCCTGGAGTTAAGTAGAATACATTTGCTCATTTAGAACCTCATTTTTCGAAAGTTGCATGTTTTTATTGTTTCAACAAAAACGTCTTGCAATTTCCATCGATTTCAAATCGCATCAATCGTAAATTATCGAAATAGTTGTGATCCCAAGAGATCCTG